CGGAACCACTTTTGAGACCTTACCCTCTCCAGATCCCTGTTTGAAGAGAGTGTCAGAGCAGAAAGGCCACACAGGGAGTGGGCAGTAACATCTACTGCCCCCTTTTGTAGGAGAACCCTGAGTCTGAAAGAAGAGAAGCTATTTGTTGAGTATCCCAGTCTGGTGGAAATGACCTAAAGTCAGAAATGGCAATATCTTCTCCATCACTGGCTCTATTGCTTCACATTCCTGGTAGAGACACACATAGTCAGCCTGCTGCAGATACAGACAGCCTGCTGCAGACACACACAGTCAGCCTGCTGCAGACACACACAGTCAGCCTGCTGCAGATAGACAGCTTGCTGCAGACACACACAGTCAACCTGCTGCAGACACAGAGTCAACCTGCTGCAGACACACAAAGACAGCCTGCTGCAGACACACACAGTCAACCTGCTGCAGACACACACAGTCAGCCTGCTGCAGACATGCACAGTCAGCCTTTGCTCTCTGTGTCTCCCACACTCATTTCCCGGTGTCAGTAAACACAATAGCCAGATGAAGGCTAAGACCTTGCCATCACAAGCTGAGGAAAGTGATGAAGCCAGAGGTGCTTTCTGATCAGGAAGGGGATGAGGCAGCTTGTGCCACAGCACAGCCTGCATCTGTATGTCCTGTACACATTTAGATATACAAAGGGTGACCCACGTGCTACCTGAGGCCGTTATTAAGTTCCCTCTGACTTAAAAACTTCATACGCATGAGCATTCAAAACTGGAAACAAAAATTCACTTCTCACTGAAGAAGTCTAATGGCCCAGATGCTGCTTGTCCACAGTCTGGAAGGTCAGGTGAGGTAACCAGGTGACATCTCAGGTGAATACCAGAAATCATGGCATTCTGGTTTCCTCCTCTGTTAGCCATGAAATGTGTCCTTTGCTTTCCAGTTCCTTTCCACGTCCCATCCCGGCTCCTAGGTTCTTGTGATACACATCTCACCTCCAACACAGATATGCCCAGCCAGCCCTCCCTGCCAGAAGGACTCTGTGTACCACTGCACAGTTGCCCTGGCAACGCTGAGGCACACATGAGCCTCATTCCCCAGAAACTATGCCTTTCCGTTCCCTGTGTTAGCACAGGAGCTCTGCTTTGTAAATAGAGGGACAAAGCTAAAATTATAACGTGAGGTTTATCTCAGGGCTACCTCTGTTGACTCCTTTGCGGAAAGGACTGAAGAGATCAGATTGGCCAGGACTGAGGATGGACATGTCTCTTCCTTGTGATACACAGTGGAGTTTGGAAGTCTGGGAGAGGATGTCTCAGGGGTTTCACTGAACTGGTCTTTATATCAGAGACACGGATGAGAGTATTAGCTCTGTGGTCTTAGCGGATGTGTTAGTTCTTGTCCTTCTTGTCCCATGAGCATGAGCATTTCCTAGCTGCTAGAGCTCAGTCAGAGAGGCAGAAGGGATGCTCCAGAACCACAAATGGTCCTCTCCATGACGACTGATCCTTAGTCAGTTGGTCACATGACTGGGCTGTTACAAGGATGAATGGTGCTGACTGGCTTTGCTTTGGGATGGGGGTCTGGGGTGTGCTGAGGAGCAGTGGTGGGAGACAGATCTGGCAGGTGGAGAGTAGTGTAGTCGATAATCGCAAATATCTGTCCCCTCTGTCCCCTTTATCTTCAGAGCACCCCTGTGGGGCAGAAATGGCAGGCATCCTTTCCCTTCACACCTTGGAGAACTGAGGAGATAGTGACTTAACCAGAATCAGGATCTTAGACAGGCTGGTCCTATAGACTGGGAGGAAGCAAAGGACAGGCAAGAAGGAAGGGGATGCGATTGTAGCTCCTGCTGAAGGTTACCACCGGGAGTGACATGGCAAATCTAAAGCCCACACTTCTCCTAGGGCTGCTCTGGCCTCGAGTCCAGGACACAGGGTACGGAGAGTTTACCAGTAAGAGTTTTGTAGCTGGATGACCTCTTTAGGGTGACCTACATGAAGAATGGCTGAAAGACAATTTGAGGCCATAGATTGGGGGTTGGCAGTGACAAGTGAAGGGCCTTCACCCTGAGAACATGGTCCCTCTGTCTGATTTAGGGCTCTGCTCAGCACAGGCCTCCCAGGAGGCTCATTCTCTGCATCTGCCTTTCCTTCGTGCCTGCCTGGCTGTAGATAAATTACCATTTGCCAAAGGGTCCTAGAAATATCCCCAAATGGTGTCTGTCCCTGCCTGCCTGTGACATGACTCAGAATAGAACTGACTTAAACCAACTTGGGATCCATCGGTAACAGATCTGGAGACAGTCAGAGACTCTGGCAGCCTTAAAGTTCACATCTCCTGAGAAGTGTCCTCTTGTAATATTTTTAAATATACAATAACATGAGAAGACTCTTGGGGACTGGAGAATCTATCTTAACATTTGAGACAGACTCCACCCCCCACCCCTTGGAAGGAACAGAATAAGAATTCTTTTTTCAAAAGTCTGCCTAGAAGTGTAATTATTGATAAAGCAACAGCAGATCTTCCTGGGCAATGGGTGGCTTCGGGCCTGGTGATCATGGGCTCATGGGTGACTGCTGTGGAAAGCTCTGCTTTAAGAAAAATTTAGTTGATTGATTAGTATAAAATGTCAAGGAGATGTCCAAGTGCTGGCCCCCTGAGGTGATAAAATACCGGGTTTGGGGTAACCCGCCAAGCTTCCATGTCAGGATTAATTGGCATGCATATTGGTAGCAAGCGTGACGCAAGCTGTGCTATTGTTAGCCTCTCTCCCTGATTCGTATGAAATGGTCACAGGAGAAGCAAAGAAACCTTAATAATTCTACCGATTACTTCATCATCTGTACACTTGAGTGGCCTGGCAGCTGGAAACACTCAGAGTATTTAAACCAAAAGAGAGGATTGGTTGCTTCTTTAAAGTAAACGTGGGGTGGAAGTGGATGCTGTAAAGTCTTCTGTTTGGGATCATGGCACTGCTAAGCTCCAGGTCCCCCGGTGAAGACACC